AAAATGGAATGATTTAATTAAATGTGCATCACTTTACCTTTATCATTTGACAATGTTCAAAATATATAGCAAACTTCTTTACAAGGTAAACATTTTTCTTATTCAATATCAGTATGTTTATATTCACAAGATCCTACATTTAGTGATCAAAATTTGAATTCTTATAAAGATACATTATATTTGAAGTTTAATTGCAATTAATATATTTAATATATAAATTTTCTAATTATTATTAAGAATATATTTAAAGATTAAAAAGAGGAATAATAAATATTTAAGAGTAAGTGTAAATTGGATTTAGATATCTTTCAGATGAAATACATTTTCTAAGTTCCTCTGCCTAACCTTCACAATAAATTTCTAATCTGAAAAGAAAATCTATTAAATATTATTATTGAAAAATGATGATAAAATTAATAATTTTGATGAATAAGATGATAATATTGAAGAGATTATTCTTATATATAAAGATTTCTTTTCTGACAGTAGAAGAGAATACAAGAATAATAAATTATAGGAAAAGATACAAAAATAATTTGTTGAAAAAAAATTAAAAGAAATAAGAATTTGATTTTTATTATTATACTTATGCAATTTTATTATGAAACTGTTAAATTTATTATTTATTATATTTATACAATAATAATTTTATAAAATGAAATAAAATTTCTTGTTGCATAATATAAAATTTGATAAATTTCTAATTGATTATATGAAGAAATTTAAAGAGATAGTCTTACAACTCAAATGAAAATTGATTTCTTGTATTTAAAAAATTTTTAAACATGAATTTCAAGTAATATTGAAATTAATCTAAGATGTACTGAATGACTATTATAAGAATGGTCATCAAAAATGAAAGAACACACAACTTAATGATAATTAAAAAAAAGAAAAAGAAATACATAGATTATATAACAAACTGTTTGTTTGAAGTAATTTTTGATTTTTTTTTGAAATATTCTCAAAAATGTCTAAAAAATAATATTTTCTTATCTAATTATAGAAATGTGAGCAAAATTAAAAGAAACCTTGTTCATAGCAGACAATCCAAAGTATTGAAAAATATTAAAGGGATATAACATAGAGGATATAATGAGATATTAAGTAAAAATGACTATCATTCTCCAAAAAAAAGCGATTCTAAAAATGATTTTAATACTTTTATAGAATGCAAAGAACTTTTAGTTTATAAATTATTGTGAAGAACTGATAAAGTAAGTCAGAATTTTTAATTTAATTTATTAAATTAATTTACTAATTTACTATTTCAATTTGTTAATTTTAATTAAATGTCTTATTAATTAATTAGTTTTTTACATATCATTAACAAGTATATCAAAAAGAATTTTTCAGAAAATAAGAAAGTATGACTTTAAGTATTTAAAGATGAAGATTAGGAAAAAGGGCTTCTATATACTATTTAGTAAGTTATTAAAAAAAAGAGGTTCTCTGTCACCACTTTTTAGATAAAATGAATTAGAATCAGATTATGATAATAACGAGTGTCTGTAATTGTAATAATTTACATAGACTTTTAATAAAGTTCAAAATGACTTTTTTATTAAAAAAATTTATAGATTCTCAATTATAATGGGAAATAGTAACATCATATACTAATGTTCAAAGGTATGATTTAATTGAACAAATTTCATATAATTAAAAATTTTTATTGAAAATTCAGAATTTAATATAACTTTTATAATATCATAAGTAGATGATCGATCACGAGCATAACAACCATCATTACAAAATAATTATCCTAGAAATGATCAAAATCAAGACAATTAAATATAAAGTGTTTGTATTTATTTATTATTTATTTATTCATTCATGCTCTTATTTTTATAATGAAGGTTTACTAGTTCTGAAAAAGAAATCAGTTATGTATTTTTCTTTATAATAAATATAAAATCTTTTTAGAGTAGTTCATTCATTCATTCATTCAATTTTTGGTTTTTGATTTTTTTTTTTTTTAAAGAAAAATGGATATCTAGAAGAAAAGGCCAGTTCTTATGAAAAATCAAAAGCATATTTAAAGTAACCTGAAAAGTGATCAAGCTAATTTTGTTGATTGTAGCAATATCAGAATATGATGATATATATATTATATATAATTTATATTAAGGTTTTAATTAAATTTGGTTATTTTTTTATTTTAAAAATTTAAATATTTATGTTAATTGAATTAGAACTATGATTAAACATTTAAAAGGTCAATCTACCAGTTTTCTATCTAGATATGTTTTTGGTCAAGCGATTTTATTAGAATTTCGAAATAACCATTTATTAATTTGATAATTAATATAATAGTAAGGAATTACTAAAAAAAAATCTATATAATAATAATTTATTTTGACTCAAAACATTTATCCTCCCTTTCTAACTGTAATAAGCTTTGCGCAAAAACCACCCTTTCTATAATCTTTGGCATACAACGAATTGGAGCTCGGAAGAATTCATCGTCATTTTATCATTTATTTCTTTCTCAGTTGTCATTTTTTAATACGAAGATGGATTTTTTTTGACCAAAACAACAAAAAAAGGTGCTTTCAAATAGGATCTGTTTCCAGTTGTATCTTATGAGTAACTGTTAACATTGACGTGCAGAATTTTTTTTATACATCCAATGTCTGCCAATAATGTAATTTGCAGATCGTTACGTATTTTGTCAAATACTGTATATATTCCGATCGATAATTTTTTTTAATATTTTTAATTTTTTTTATTTACTTTTATAGCAAAACACCTCTTTAAATGTCAAAGTCATTACCTATAATAACGATTAATAATAATAATGCTGATACCACTAGTACACAATCAAAACCACCTTCAAAGGCTCGTCATATTGCAAAATACCCTGGTAAAAAGAAGAGATCTGAACGAAAAATAACGGCCAGACTACCCAGATTACCAAGACAACTTAATAGTGGTGGATCTAGTGCAGATGAATACGGTAAGACTTGGACTCTTTACTTTCTTTTTTGACCTTTGTTTGCTCCTGAATTCACGCTAAAAAGTAAATTTCTGTTTGTCACTGCTTGTAATAAATTTTTATGTACGTTTAACCTCGCACAAAAAAAACGCGACTTATGATATGATTTATTTTTAATTTATTCAGATATTACACTACATAATGATATGATGAATCAAAATCAAAACATACCGATATATCTTTCGCCAGCGGAGTCTTCTTCATCTACCCCTTCAACCTTAACATCAAAACCTCGATATTTTCTATTAAATAATAATAACGCATCAATGCCGGATCTTTCAACGCAAAGTAGCAAAAATTATGGCAGTATCAATTCTTTTGGACGTTTAAAAAAATTACAATCAAGAAAATCAAGGACTAGAAATTTAACGACACAACTAAAAAACGGTAATAATAATAATGACGGATATTTTAGTGAAGACAGTATTTTATTATCACCACCCGTATCTGTGGTTAATAAATTTAAGTTTCCCTCTTCAAAAACAACATCAACAAGAACATTATCATCATCTGCTAAACCTTCTACCAAAAGTGTTACTAATGCGTCAACCCCAATGATATTTCGTAGAAGGCGTAAACTCAATAATTCATTAAAAAAGAAGAAACAAAAATCTTTTAATATAAAATCACCTTCATTTTTAGCATTTTATCTACAATCATCATCAAATAATAAATCAAATTTACAATCATTTCCTTATGAACAAATGACTAGTATAATACCAAAATCTCCTTCTTTATCTTCTAATGCTTTCGATGATAGACTTTCTATACAAATGAATTTGGAAAGTGTTCAAAAATTTATTGATTTACCATTAATTTTTGTTTTTGAAAATTTAACGATAAAGAATGATATTAATGATTTTTTACTTTTAAAAATCGAAAACTTTATTCTATACTATCATATCATTGATGATAATAACGATAAAGAAGATCAAACTTGGTGTATAGAACGTTTCGGATGTGGTAGCAATGATGAAGGTTTTAATGATATTGAAGGAGAAAAAGAAATTTTTGATGGAGAAAGAGTAGTGAATAAAAATAAAAAAGATTTAAAATTATTTAAAGATGATGTGTTTGATAGGTTTAAAGGTGTTGAATATAAAGAACTTTGTTCTGTTGATGAAATATTGTTTGAAGACGATATACATCTGTTAACAAGGAATGAATCTGGTTAGTAGGGTGTATTTTCGTTTCTGAGATAATAATTTTTTTTTTTTTTTTTTTTGTCCATGATTTTAACGATAAATATATATATTGTTATGATCATATAGACGCAAATCTGAATATATTTGAGATTCAAGCGAAACAAGAAACTTTAATTCTCGGAACTTATTCCTTGGATGAAAAAAGAAGGTTTTTAAATACTATACGTTTCTTCACTGATACAAAGAAATATTCCGGTAATTTTTTTTTCTTATTAAACCAAAGGAAACTCCTTATTATTTTCTTAATTCTGACGAATTTGATATTGTTTCAATTTTACGTACGTTGATCATGTTAGAGATGTTGAAATATTATTCGAGAGAACAATTACCTATAATTACGGTGCAATCATCAGATTCTGAATCGGATGAAGATGAAGAAGTTGATAGTGATGATGAAGAAATTGATACCATGGATAATATTGATTTAATTGAAGAATTAGTAACTCGTTGTAATCAATATGAAGGCAAGATTATCACTTTACGCGTAAGTTTAATTTTTTATTTTAAATTTGAACAAAAAAAAAGTAAAGAGTACGTATTCATCATTCGATAATTCAATAGGATACAATTGTACACAAATCAAGGGAACTTGTTTCAAGCATACGTAAATTTCGAGAGTTGGACAGACTTGCAAAGGTGAGGAGGTTGAGAGTTGAAACAAGGATGATATTCGAGACAATTTTTTTTTTTTTAAAAAAAAAATCGATAAATTATTTCTTAATTAGGAATTGGATGAAAGCATTTCGGTGACTAAATCCAGATCAACAAAAGAAATGGAAGAAACTATTAATGTGGCAGATCAAACTACTCAAGGAATAGCGGATAGATTAAATTTAATTCGAACAAGGATTCGTGATAAAAGTGAAAGGTTAAAGCAACATCAACAACTTGTACGTACTTTTATAAATTGGTCGTTCCATTTTTTTACATCCTTCATTTATACATTTTCTCGCTTGCGCATGTTTTATTGAATCTTTATAATTTCTTTTTTAGTTGACAACTTTGAAAATTCAAGTTGAATTAGAAAAAAGATCTTCTAATATTCCTGCTATATTTAGAATGGTGTTAGGAGGTATGATTATATTATAATCAAAAAGATTGAGGAATTTTCTCAATTATTTCATATAACTGATTCTTCCATTTTCTACGTAGTTTTTACCTTGATTATGATAAGTGTTTCAGCACTTGCGGTTAAAAGGTGGGTTATTAATATTTAGGCTAGAATTTATCAATTCAAATTTAAAAGCGAACAATATATATGTTATTCTTTTCATTTAATAAATTTCATTAAACAAACTTTGTAATTAAAAACCCATTAAATCCAATTTATGATCCATCATAAAACTTATCATATCTTGATATTCTGTATTTTTTATGTTCGTGATATCTTAAAATACAGAAATACTTCGAAATTTGGGATGCATTTGAATAAAAATTCAAGTATAAAAAAAAAAAAACATAAGCCATGATATTATTTATTAACTCAAAAAAAAAATTTAATGATACAACTTTCTGAAGGAATCTATTTACGAGTTGCTTAATATTGCAAACGCATATGATATGTAATATTTGAGATTCCACATTAATACTATGTTTATTTAATAATCAGAGGATAATTTCTCACATTCATTTCCGAAGGCCAAATGATACCTTCGTATTGAAAGTTTACGGTTATTAGTAACTTCAAAAAAATGAGCAGGAAAAAAAAATTTTTTTTTTCTATAATATGTACACATTCGCCCAAAGGACTTTTTTAAAAAAATTTTCTTGGACATTACGTCTAAGGAATTAAAGATGATTGATGTAACTTTAAGGGTTAACTCGTAAAAAAAATTTATAAAAATGATATTTATTTGAGAAGCTTAGTCGTTGCTTTCGTCCCAGGAAGTGCTCCAGGCGTGATAAAGAATATTTGGAAGCTGAAGGATATCCATCCTCCTCTTATGCCCACTACGTAACTTTCTAAATTGCTGGCTTACAATACAACTTCGTGCAACACCTTCTGGAGAAACAAAGTCAACCGCGGCTTTGACACAGCTTGTGTAATTGCAAACTTGATGTGCACATCCTGCGGGAATAAAAACGGCATCGCCAGGGTTTTGGTACACTCTGATAATAAATGTTGTTAATCACAAAAAAATATGTTTCAGAAAGATACATAAAAAAGGAAATTTATTGTTAACCTCCATCCTGTAACTCCTTCTTCCGCGGTCAATCGTTCTCTCAATTCTTTGTCCAAATAAAAAAATTGGTCATGTATAGGATGACAAATATACAATCCTCGTTCATTAGCAATTTTTCTTAAGAATCTTCTTAATCTTGGAAGTTCGGCTGAATGGTACAAATCCCATACAGCTGCTGCTGGTTTATCCCGCTCATTTTCTAGGCGTTTTTCAACTATAGGAGCATATGACATCAAATTAACTGCATCTGTTATATCAAGGTGAAGGTTTGTAGTACCTTTACCACCTATATCTTCTTCGGAACCATAAGCGTTGTACATCTTTGGACCAAGATCAGGACGATTGATCTCTAATGGTAATCTGTGAGCTAAATTCAAGACACCGCCACGAGTCGTATATTCTTTAAATGGCAAACTATTAGAGAAGTCCTTATAGTGTTCTGGAAACGTCACTGCGAAGTCATCTTTTGGTGGCCAGTCCTTTTTAACACAAATAGGTAAATATATAGTCACTAATCTAAAAATTTTGTTTTAAAACAAATTCAAATCATACATTAAATATACCTTTAATTTTAAGCAGGGATGTTTTCCATGATCATTTATAAATCGCTCGTTAAAATCCTCAAAACCTTTAAAGAATGTGTTGACATTCATTTTATATTCGACATTCTCTTTGACATCAATTACTCTACAAACAGTTTCCCCGTAATGCTCAATAAAGTATTCTGGTTTCCAAATATCCTCGTTTAATCTATCTACGCCTTTGATCACGAAAGGGTATCCTTTCCTCCAGAGGTCTCTAAAAATTTCTTCGGTCATTTCATTAGCTTCATATTCAGTCTTTTTATGCTCATTATGTATTCGCGTGGAAATATTATTATCATATCCAGTCTTTTTTTGCTCATAATTTTCTTGGGCGGAAATATTGTTATCTGCGGCAGAAACCTGTGCATGGACTGTTCGGAATCTTCGCGAAGTCTTCTGGCGGCGTTGAGAAGCGGCTTTTGAGCTTTCAACGACAGATACATCGTCGGACAATTCACCGTCATCTAAATCTATACTATCCTCATCGTCGAGAATCATCTGATTACATTGATCAATGAGACGAAGAATTTCTTCTTTTGTATAATGATACATTGGTACCAGCTGTTCTTTATAATGCGGCCTCTTATGAGAACATTTTCCGATTTCATTAGAAAATTCATTGACATCGCTCCATTCCTCATGACAGGAAAGGCAATATTCCCTTCCACAAACACAGCACATCCAATATCCGCTAAATATTGTTGTTTGACAACCGTCGCATAATTGACAGATTTTGCGATGTGGTACTTTGCGGTATTTTGCAACCTTAAAATGTGGAATTTCTTTTTGAAGGTATTTAATGAATGTTGGTGCGATCAAATCTATATGAAAAAAAGTTACATGTTGAATACTTTTTTTGCAAGATATTTATGCAAATGATAATAGATTTTCGATGTTTACTTGCCAAGAATGCGAACGTTCTTAACTTCGTCATCGTTTACTTCAATCTCATAAGTTGAGGACGGGTCGGGGTCTGTCATCGAAATAAAGTCGGGGCCGTATATTAACATATTATCTTCTTCCAGCTCGAACACTCGTATACCGTTGAATCTGCATAAATCAGTTTGTTTGGCTAAACCTAATTGATTATAAGAATACAATTTAAATTTAAATGAAATAATTGATATTAGATAACTAACATGATTTCTTGATTTCTATATTATACTTACATGCAGTACATCTTTCAAAACTTTTGTATCTTACTGAGAAACAACGTCCTTGTTGAACGTGCTTCTTACCATGCACCGGACGTACCGTAATTAAATCGGCTTTCATGACCGTTGATAATTTCATCTGTCGATGTTCAATTTCATTACCGTCAACTTTTAGGTTCAGATCGCGCATAGAATCCGTGAACTCTGAAACCTTCATTTTTTTTGGTTGCTTGACGGATACGTTAGAAGATTTTCTCTTATCACCAGTTGTTGTAGGCTCTTCGTTTCTTGTGGTTTTCTTTGGCTTTACCCTTTTTTTTCGCCTTCTAGTAATAGACTGAGTAGGAGTGTAAAACTTTGTTGCCTTCCTTGTTCGACGCGGCCTCTTTGAAATTTCAAAAGTATCAGATACAGTTATATCAGGTTGAGTTGTGTTAATGGGGTCGATTCCTTGATCACCTTGGTCAGACATGTTGACTGAGAAAAAAAGCATTTTAATAAAATAGGTAAGGTAAACTTATACATATATGCGAGTTTATTAAAATTTCAAGACAAATTATAAACATTTATAGCGTTAAATCATATTTAATTCGTTTGAAGGCAGAAGATAAACGAAAATTACGATTTGACACGTTATTTTTATTTTAAAATTAACCTTTTAAAAATGTAATTTCAAAGTTTTCGCGATAATAGAAAGTTTCCCCCTTCACCTTTCTTTTACCAAAAGAACTAGATGTTGTAAATTTCTTATAAAATATTTGAAAAGTAAGATAAATTTATAATTTGAAGGGAAGCTTGTGATTGAATTTGTGAAAAGCGTATGGAAGTGGGAGTAAGAGTGGTTTTTTTATCTTTGAAAATGTCTGGATCCGTTGTTAACTAAATTTAGAAACTTTCACGATCACGTTATACAATTTATCCAACCAAAACTTTTTCCCAAAAACATTTCAACGGATTTGAACTTTTTTTTTTTTTATCATTTGCCACGTATAAGAAGAAGCCATCGAAGTTTACATTTATGTATAAAGACTGTTCTCCATCAATATCGCTATGGCTGTGTAGGGTTTGGAAACTGTAGTTTGATCAAAAATTTGATGACAACGGATGAAAATACCCGGGTATATATTGATTTATTTATAAAATAAACTTTACGGGTATTTTTGATACTAAGCATAAGGAATAATTATGTTTGATCTATTGACGAAGCCCATATATCTGAAATGATTTCCAAAAAAGTATGATATCATAAAACTGAAGCTGCAGTGTATTATTATCAACAGAACTCATGTTAGACGCCTCTCTGTCAGTAAATGAAGAAAGTATTGTTATAAAACATTAATAATTATTTACCATTTTTGAATTTTAAAAAAATAAAAGATGTCTTAAGATCAGAAGTCATTGTAAAGAACATGTTATAATTACAAAATAAATTATCCTTCTTTACATCTAATAGAAGTGCTTTAAAAGTGAGAATAACTAAAAAAATTATAAAGGCATTGGTATGTCCAAGTAAAATTAAAGATTATTACATATTATAAAAATAATGAATTTAATATTTGCGAAACATTGTAAAAAATTTAATATCTAACCAAAACAGAGATTAAAATATTTTATTTGATTGGATTACTAAGCAATGACAATTAAAAATTTTTGTTAATAACTATAAAGTATTATTATTTTCACAAAATACAAATCTTTAAAACTTATCTACACCTACAATAAATTACTGAAAATTGATTGATAACTTATTATATTTAGAAATCAAAAAATATATCTTTTTGTTTTCTTTTTGAAAGTAAATGTAATTGCTAATTTTATACATAAAAAGTCAATGTTTTTGTAGATTCTTTTCAGTTCAAAAAATGTGTGACAAAGAATTAATCCCTTATAATCACACCACTCGGGACCATCAAATGGTGTGATTGTATGGAGGTGTGCTTATAACAAGGTTTTTTTTTGCTATAATCACATATATATAAAACTTTCGAAATGGTGTGATTATAAATTTTTTTAATTATGTTATCTTAAAAAAAAAGTAAATTTATTCAATTTATGAGGAAACATGATATAAAAATTTACATAATAAATATAATTACAATGTTTGGGCTATCATCCCAAAGATCTTTGATCGAGGAGAGTATATATTAATAAAGCATTTTATAAAAGTTTTGACCATATCAGAGTGGTAATTTTTAACCAATGTATTAATTATTCTACATGCATTGACAATCACCGCAAAATGTATATTTCGTAATTAGTCTATGGATCATAATACTGCCCTGGTGACATTAAAAAATAAACACTGCGTCATGAGTTATGACATTTCGTGATTTGAGAAACCACTCAGCGCCATGAAAGTGCCAGGGAAGTGTCATAGATTTAGGGAGATCACATGTGATACAAAATTTATAATTTAGCCGAATCAAAAATTGATTTTTACCTGAATAATCGAATAAAAATGAATCTGATATATAATATTGCTAAGCAAATCAACTAAAATCGGCTAAAACTATAAAATTGCTATAAATCACTAAATTAGCTATAAATCGTTAAATATGTCAAGAACTCATATTAACAGACCAAGGCCTAATAAGTGGATTGACATTATTATAGATAATGATTATAATAAATTTGTGCCTAAACCCATCAATCTTTGTTCTGGATATAATATAGAATATATTAGAAAGCATTATCATTTTCCTTTTCCTGATCAATTTGAAAAGATGGTTGAGGTTGAAAAAATATATGATAATTTATCTATTATTAGTTCATATGAAACTTTACAGTAATGGGCTATTCGTGTAAAAGATGCTTTGCAAGCATTGATTAGTAGAGGTTATGAAAGCTACTATCATCTATTCTGCCTTTTCAGATCATTTGGGCAAGGAGTAACCAAAATATATTTTGATATCTACAAAGGGAGAGAAATTGCCATTGGTTATCACAGATCTAATATTCACAATTGCAAAATGGCTATTTGCTTCGATTGTTGAAAATTGGTAAAGATCCCTAATGTAAAACTAAAAAAGACATATTTCGATGGATGGCGGAGATATGAGTATGAGATTAAGCCTAAAAACTTAATGAAACATCATTGGGATAACTTATGTTTCAAGACTAATAAACATATAGAAGCCCATCTTCTTGCAAGCTCAAAGTCAAAAATATTGCGTGAAAAATTTTCTGACCAGAGAGGGGTATTGTATCCTGAAAAAATTACACCTGATTTCCTATTTTCTGGGTAAACAGGTGAAATATTTATCTCGTCTCTATATGCAAAACAAAATAACTTAAAACATCTTAATCAGCCAAAAGGTATCACATTAAGATTGAAAGATGAGACAAAAGTCATGATTTTTTAACTGGTTTAACTGAATGATTCTGAAAAATATTTTAATTATAGACTATTACTTTCAACTGAAATATAATTTATTTTTGCATTATATAATCTGTATGGATGATCGCCTAGCCGAAAACGTTATGTATAATCTACTATTCTGAGTTAGATCCTCTAATCTATAACTATTTTAATAATTTTTTTCAAGAAATTCAGAAAAGATTAATGAAACACTCTTAAGAATTCTTAATTGCGAGACAATATAACTATCAGTTTGAGAATTTCTATGTGACAGTTATCCAACAAGCTTATAGAAATTACAAGAAAAGACCCGAATCTTTCACTAGTCGAAATCAAAAAAATCAGACATGCGAAAAATCAGCCTAAATTTGGCCTAAATTTGGCAAATTATTAAAAAATCGGCCTAGCCGATTGGTATACACTAGAAATCAGCCAAGAATCAGCTGAAATTCGACCTATCTTATTTATAGCCAATTGGCATACTTATTGCCGATTGATACACATCAAAAATAGACTAAAATTTGACCCATCTTATTTATAGCTGATTGACATCCGATTTACATCTGATTGATATACATCAAAAATAAACTAAAATTTGACTCATCTTATTTATAGCTGATTGACGTCCAATTTACATCTGATTGATATACATCAAAAATCAGCTAAAATTCAACCTATCTTATTTATTGCCGATTGACATACGTCAAAAATCAGCTAAAATTTGACTCATCTTATTTATTGCCGATTGACGTCTGATTTACATCCGATTGATATATATCAAAAATAAACTAAAATATTTCAAAATAAAATAAAATTTGGAAGGAAATATAACTGATATTTAGGATTAATAGCCAAATAATACTAAAAACATCTAATTTATTTTTACAAATGGTATTTTCTATTAATTGGATTAACAGCCAAATATTTTTTTGCATTTCGTCAGGCTAAAATTCGATAGTTAATCGGTATAAATTAACCTAAAATATGATGAACTGATATTATACAATCACGACTTTCCAGATAAAATTCAGTATTCCATAATTTGATATTACATATTTCTTCTTCGCTAAAATAATACCACATATTTAGAGAACTTGCAGGTTTATACCAATAAACAAATGCTAGAAAATGTTCAGCTTTTCTGGATGGCAAATCAACCTTATGTGTAAAATAATATTAGACTTGGCCAGGATAACAATCAACTATACTATCATTTGTAATAAATTTGGCCAAAATGTACAAATTTTTTACATGTCGCAAAGACATTGATGATCTGAAAATTTCAGAACCAATTCGACACCTTCTGAATTGATTCATTTTGACCTGAATCGTTATACCATCTTTCGAATCCTTATCGAATGGTTTCTAAAATTAAACGTGATATAAGTCACATTGTAGTATTCAACTATCAAATCAAGTATTTCATTTGAAATAATTATATTATCAGATGATAGTTTAAGGAATTCGTCAGGAAATGGTTCACTATCAGTAACATTTGATTTCTTAATATTTTGTGAATTCATTCAAAATCGATGGATTTCGTCAGAAGAAAATTCGTCTGTATCTGAAAGGGAACTAATTGAAGGCTATTTGTCTAGCAATTCACCTCAATACCACCAGAACTTGTAATACTATCAATTTGAATATCAAATATCAATCGACGCATTAGCTCAGGTTCAATTTTTCTATTACTATTCGGTAAAGAACCTAAAAATCTGTTCATAAATTAGTAAGCTGATTTATTCAAGAAATTCTCAAAAAAAATACCTAATATTCCATTCATGCGTTCAAAAGAAAAACACCAAAATGCATATAATAAATCATAGTCTTTTGAGTAATCATACAAATGGAGAGAAAGGTAAAGATTTGGCGTAATTTTATTGCGCCTGTGATTATTTTCAATCAACTTTACCATCTCAATTAGTCTTCGATATGCTTCATGTAATAGATCTGATTCTACAATCCAGCTTACTAAAATTGTACAAATCCTTACGAAATGTGTAAGAATCTTTCTATCTACAATCAGAAGATGTTCCCAAAGTGAAACAGTGGCATATACAGTGAAAAATATTTGCTACTGATTGGCCATAAAATTAGAAAATCCTTCTCCTTCA